CTCCCAACTTTCAGATTTCTTTTATTGTCAAGTTAATCTTTTCAAATTCATAAATTTCACATCTTTGATAAAATCTATTTAATTATTAGTTTAATTACAAATTAGTCAAACAATCTTTGGGGACAGCGACCTTGCATGAGCATCTATACTACAATATCCTTGTATTCTTGCAAGTATTTTAAGTGATTTTAACCCTGTTTGCGCAGGTACTAAAAATAATCCTATCAAGAAATTGGCGCCGTTGCCGGGGATTGTTTCAATTAATTTGTTTTTATCTTATTCTTAATTGCTGAAATCTTTGCATGGTTAGCACCAGATCACAACTTGCACAGATTGCACTGTTTGATCCAGAACCAGAACGCACACTACACAGACAACGCAGAGAAATTAATTGGGCGTGGGACTATTCACTACAGGACACATTTTTGCAGGATTTGTTTGCTAATTTTGTGGACAACGAGGTTAAAATGGCGTTGGCAAGACCTGCAGCAGGCAGACCACTCAAAGAGTCGTTGGCTGCCCGTGCAAATGATGTTCCTAATTGCATAGTCTATCCTGAACAAGAGGAGGGTGATTCGTTCGAAATCAGGCACCACATGCTTGAGATTTTACCAACATTCCGTGGGCTACCTAATGAAGATGCGCACATACATATTGCAAAATTCATTGTGGGTTGCAAAAACATTTTGATTAAGGGTTTTTCTGCTGAAGCTATTAAGTTACGTATTTTCCCATTCACTTTGAAGGATAAGGCAGAAACTTGGTTATTCACTCTACCGGCAAATAGCATCACTACATGGCAGCAGTTATACACAAAATTCCTGAACAAATATTGTCCAGCATCCAAGACATTGAATTACAAAAGGGAGATTTTGACATTCACACAGAAGCCTAATGAAGAGTTTTATGAAGCATGGGAGCGATATACAGAGATGTACATGAAGTGTCCACATGCTAATATTGATGCAGATACACAGATGAATATTTTCTTTGATGGGCTTAATCATACATCAAAAAGTCATATGAATGCATCAGCTGGAGGATCGCTGTCAAATAAATCTGCAAGAGAGGCATTTGAACTATTTGATATGATGGCTACAGAATCTCAGCAATGGGCAGCAGAACATTCACAGAAAAGGGGCATTTTTGAGTTATCAGTTGGTTCTCCCAACATGTCTGCACAAATGGAAAAAATGGAGAAGAAAATTGATGCAAAGTTTGATATTCTTCTACAACATATAGCAAATTCTACACAGCAGCAGCCACCTGCAACAACAGTTTGCACTATCTGCAGCAGACATGACATAATGGGCTGCCCACATAAAGAATCTTATCCGGAACTTGTTGAGCAACATGTTAACATGATGAACAGCTATCAAAGGCCTAGGAACGATGCATATGCTCATTACAATCCAGGATGGAGGGATCACCCTAATTTCAAATGGGGTGACAATCAGAACAATCAGAAACCATTCCAGCATGCACAAAAACCATATGTTCCATCTAGACCATCTTTGGATAATCAACTTGCTAAATTGGCAGCAACAACTCAATCATTCATAGAAGGCAACAATCAAAGATTTCAAAATGTTGAAGCATCAATTAAAAGTTTGGAGCAACAATTTAGATAGCTAGCTGCACAGATTTCAGAGAGAGAAATAGGCAAATTTCCTAGTCAATCAGTGCCTAATCCAAGAGGACGCGTGAAGATTGTAATGTTGTTCGGACTTTACGATGTGGAAAGAGCTATGAAAATCATGAAAATAGCACTGAAAAGGATCAGCCAGCAGTGAAAATTTATGCAGAAAATACTGAAACAGCAGCAGACCCTGCAGATCCTGCAGAACAACAGAAACTGTCCAGTACAGAAACTGTCCCAGAACAAGTTTCAGAGCGTGTTTATGAGGCCCCAATTCCATATCCAGAACGTTTGAAGCCAAAAGCAAAAGATAAGCAATTGAGGGACTTCATGCAAACGTTATCTAAAGTTCAGATTAACCTACCACTACTCGATGCAATCAAAAACATTCCATCATGTGCCAGATTTTTGAAAGATGTGTGCACACACAAAAAGAAGCTGGTTGATTTTGAAAAATTCGTTCTTACTGAACAATGCAGCGCAGTTCTACAGCACAAATTGCCACCCAAAAAGGAAGATCCAGGGAGTTTTACAATTTCTTGCACTATTGGAAATTCAAATTTTAAACGTGCATTAATTGATTTAGGTGCTAGTATTAATTTAATGCCTTATTCTGTTTTTCAGAGATTGGGCCAAGGAGATCTAAAGCATACATCAGTTATTCTCCAGCTAGCAGACCGTTCTGTTACTTATCCTAGGGGGATCATTGAAGATTTAATTATCAAGGTTGACAATTTGTATTTACCAGCTGATTTCGTAGTTTTGGACATGGATGAAGATTTGCAAACACCGATTATTTTGGGAAGACCATTTATGGCCACTGCCCGAACATTGATTGATGTGGAAGCGGGCACTTTAACATTGAGAGTTCAAGACCAATCTGTGATTTTTAGCCTATTTGAAGCTGCAAAACGCCCAGAAGAACAAGAATGTATGCGGGTAGATGTGTTAGAAGGTCTCATTCATGCAGAAATTATGACCAAATTGACATCAGATCCACTATTGAGTGTTTTACATGGTCCAGATACAGCACACACAGAGGATGTGGAAATTTTTGAGTATGTAACAGCATTAAATAGTGTACCAGCCCAACCACCACGTTGGAGACATGTTTACGAAAGTCTTGGAGAGCCAAAAACACCCCTACAACCTTCTACGTTACAGCCCCCAACACTGGAGTTAAAACCATTGCCAGCACATTTAAAATATGCACATCTTGGGGCAAATGAAACGCTGCCAGTTATTATTGCTTCAGATTTGACAAGCACAGAAGAGGAAAAATTACTGCGTGTTTTGAGAGAATACCAAGATGTTTTGGGGTGGACTATAGCTGATATTAAGGGTATAAGCCCAGCATTTTGCATGCATAGAATATTGATGGAGGATGACGTAAAGCCTACTGATCGGTTCATAATTGTATATCATTTTGTACCCTTCTAGCTTATGATTTGGTTATGTTATTGAGTTAAACTTGTGCTTTTTATCCATTTTCTGTTTTGATAAACCCATAATTTCATACACTTGCATGCCTTCTTTACTTATTGATTTTGCTTAGTTTCTCTTTATTTTGAGTCACTTACCTCTGT